GGGAATAAATACTGCCAAACCAGACACAATCCTGTTTCAGATCAATCCATAGTTTATTCGTGGCATCTCCACTACTAATCTCCAGTTATAATCCTTACAAGACATGTCATTATGTCTCCCAGGATAACACCAGGGGTTTTTGCTTTCTGAAGTCATAAGAGGTTCTAATTCAAACTTTCAAAATCCCAAGTAAGAATTCTCAGAAGTCTCACACAAGTTAAACGCACCAACCATTCTTGCCAGGTAATCCCAACTACTAGGGAGGTTGAGGCAAGTTTGACGCCAGTCTGGACAACTTAATAAGACTGTGTCTAAAAATAAAATAAAAAGGGCTGGAATCCAGCTAAACTCAATCACTAGAACTGCTGGGTGTGGCAGCACATGCCTGTGATCCCAGAACTCTGGAGGCTAAGGCAGGAGGATCACTGACTTCTAGGTCAGCCTGGGCTACACAGTAGATTCAATTCTAAATTCATAGTAGATTCATAGTAAATTCAAGGCCAGGCTAGAATATAGTACCTAGAAAGACTGTCTCAAAAAAAGAAAAGAAAAGAAATCCAAATAAATTAATAAATAAAATACCAGAACACTTGCCTACCATGTATGAGGCCCAGGATTCAATCCCTAGTAATGTAAAAAAGTAAAATAAAATAAAATTCGATTTGAAGTATAATTTTTTTTTCAATTAACAAATGTACTTCAAGCACCATCCAAACTTTATCAAGCTGAGTGTGGTGCTGCATGCCTGTAATCCCAGCACTTGGGAGGCTGAGGCAGGACTGCCATGAGTTCAAGGCCAGTCTGGACCACATAGTGAGTCCAAGATCAGCCTGGACTACACAGCCAGACCCTGTCTCAAAACACAAACACAAACAAAAAAAGATATTATCAAATATCTAGTCAAAACAGATCTCTATATAATCCTTCTTAATGTATTGGTAAACTATGCCTATTGGCAGAAATAACTCTAAATTTTAAAAATAAAATAAAAACTTTATTCAGTCAAATGCTTACGTGAAGTGAGATCATTTCAATTTTCTATTAATAAGTTGACATCCTACAGTAACATCTGTCATATGAGTACCTTAGGTGTAGATTTAAAATTTTTGTCTATAAATGAAAAACAATCTCCAATGAATAAACATTTTTAAATCTATGACTTTAGCAATGTTAACCAACATCTCTGCATCAACAGTTATGTTACTTGGGGCCAGGGATTTAGCTCAGTGGCACGCACCATGCCTGCCTCGCAAGTGCAAGGTCCTGAGTTCAATTCACAGTACAAAAAAAAAGTTATGTTACCTGCAAAGTACTCAACAGATAGGATGAATGAGGTTTTTTTTCTTTGTTTTATTTTTGTGTTCCTGGGAATTAACATCCCTAGCCCTTTTTAAAATTTTTTAAATTTTGGGCTAGGGATTTAGCTCAGTGGTTCAACCACCTGCCTTGCAAGCCCAAGGTCCCAAGTTTGATCCCAAGCACCAAAAAAAATTAAAAATTTAAAAATTCTGAGACAGAGTCTTACTAAGTCACTTGCCCAGCCTAGGCTGGACTCAAACTTCTGATCCCCCTGCCTCAGCCACCTAGAGTGCTAGGATTACAGGGGTGTGCCATCAACCCTGGCTGAGTTACTTCTTATATTAGGAATTTAATGTGGTAGTACTTAATTTAAACCAACATTCTAACTTACAAAAATTAATCACATTATTCTAAATTACCAATAAAATATATTCCTCTTGTAACACTAACAGTACAACAGGATTAATATTTACCAATAATATACTTATTTGGGGGGGGGGTACCAGGGATCTAACTCAGGACCTTGTGCTTGCCAGGCAGGTGCATCTCCCCGGCCCATCAACTGTATTTTTGTATTGTTCTTGGGTTATCTTAAATCATACACACATTTACTGACAGTCTTCCTACTAATGAAGGCCTGCCTCAGGAGGCTGAGGCAGGAGGATTATCACAAATTTGAGGCCATCCTGGGCTACATAGTCACTTCAAGGCCAGCCAGAGCTACAAAGTGAGACCCTGTCACAAACTCCTCCCCTAGAAAAACCCAAAAACTAATGAAACCAGTACTTAGCCTACACAACTCATAGTCATGCACTGTTACTCATTCTATGCCAAGTAGACATATTTTAAAAGTTTAGAACATAAATGTAGCACCCATTTTACCATAATCTTGAGAAATAATGTGTTTCAAAGGCAAAACATCCAAGTTAATTTTATACCCTATGCAAAAAGGAAGATGCTTGACAAGCAACCCAAAACAAAGTGAACTGTTATTAGAAACGTTCACTGGGCAAATAAACTGTCTATCAAAATCTAATTGGATAGGGCTGGGGCTTAAGCTCAGTGGTTTCGCCACCTGCTGCGCAAGTGCAAGGACCCGAGTTCAATCCCCGGTAACACAAAAAAAAAAAAAAATCTAATTGGATAAATTTTAGGGTTTTTTTTTTTTTGGTACCGGAGATCGAACTCGAGTCTTTGCAGTGAAACCACTGAGCTAAATCCCCAGCCCAGGGTTTTTTGTGGTTTTTTTAAGACAGAGTCTCACTCTGCACTTCAGGCTGGCCTTGAACTCACAGTGATCCTCCTGCTCCACCTCCCGAGTGCTGGGTTGCAGGAGTGCTGGGTTACAGGTATACGCCACCGTGCCCAGCTGCTAACTTTTAGTTTTAGATTACCACACCCACCGTAAAATGATCAAACTTTCAAATTGCCTGGCAAATGTTGTAGGAGCTGCAAGAGGTATAAAATCAATACCTATCCCTGAGTTGGTCATTTCTATAGCTATATAACAAGTACATACAAGATAGCGGCAAGTGTCATTAGGAAAAGCAAAATAGCTGGGTATGGTGGCATTTACCTATGACCCCAACACTATGGAGGCTGAAGCAGGAGGAACTTTGAGCCCTCTCGGCAATTTAGCAACTTACCGAGATTCTGTGTCAAAATAAAAATTAAAAATGAGCTAGGGCCGGGGATTTAGCTTAGTGGTTTTGCTGCCTGCTGCACAAGCGCAAGGACCCGAGTTCGATCTCCGGTACCAAAAAAAAAAAAAAAAATGAGCTAGGGATGTAGCTCAGTATGAAGGTCCTTGGTCTAATCCCCAGTACAAAAGAAAAAAAAAGAAAAAAAGAAAGCAAAGTCAATCACAGATGTAACATAATATACAAGGTTTTTTAAAGTTTTTTTTTAAAGAAAACCAAGTCACAAATTCTAATTTAAGTCAGTACACGAACAGCCATCTATTTTAGGTATTATTTGCTAGGTTTTCAAGTAGGAATTAAAGTTCCTGCCCTAACTGCCTTAGTACTTGAAAAATCTTCCTCCATTCAAGTGTGTAATTCAGTCCCCATGTTTCAATTCCAAGCTGTCAGTACAGTAGGCCATCATGTGATTTAAGGCAAAACCTATTACTATAAAAGACGTACTAAAGCAAAATCGGCTAGAAATGAAAACTTATGTGCAGTCCCTTCTGCATGCGAGACAAAAACACTTGACACTTAATTCGCCCCCTTCACTCTCCCCTGCCAGTTCCTCACACCCCCACAACCAAAACAAGCGACTATTCTTATTGTCACGCAGAAGAAATTACCTTCTCACATTTGATGTTAGGACGATCCAAATGGGTGTACATCTGGCTTAATACACATTCTTTTCCCAATAAGAATGTTAGCATTTACCAAAAATGAAACCATTCGAGTTTAACCACATTTACTAACCTGGTCTGTCTGAAAATGATACGACACATACTATTTTCTTAAGATCCTCACCTTTCTTTACAAACTTTATTTAGTAAATCCTCTTAAATTAGAGCAGACTCTAATTTATTTAAACCAGGTTAACAAAAACAAAGGAAAAGCCTGACAGACTGTTGCTACAAGTTATTTTTTTCTCACAATTTAGTAAACTGCAACTATGTATTTAATATAAAGCAGTAATTGTGTGTTGTTTTGTTTTGTTTAAACAAAATGCACGTCAGCATCAGCTTGGAGAAACTTTCTGTGAGAAAACAGGAGAAAAGTGACCAGGGAGAAACTCACTGCCAATCCAAAGAGGTCTTTTTCCTCAGAAATACAACGAAAAGATCATTCTGCAATAGTAAAACTGACGTTTCTGTGTGACTTCAACAGTTCATCTGATCAACTACACATCTTCCGCAACAGGTGCCACAAAACTGCATTTTCCAAGCAAGGCAAAGGGATCAAATTGTAGGACGAACGTCCCTGAGGTTTCGTACTTTATTTCTGGATTTAACCAAAACGATTTTGAATTGGGTTACCAATTTTAGTTTGGTTTGGTTTAGTTTTCTGCTTTGCTTTTTAATCAGCCATTGACCAGCAACAGTTGCACGCGTCCACCAGCCCTTGAAGACTATAAACACAGGACTAGATAAGGCTCCCCTACTAAACCAAATAATTGTTTCCTTAACTCAATTTCTAAACCACGCAGCTAAGGGTGGATGGGAAGTATGCCTGGTGCGTGTGTGTTCAGGGGTCACAATCTAAATCCTTAATTCCCTTTTAAGGAGCAGACAGTAATAAAAATCTACAAGAAACTACATTAGAAATGCGAAGAGGTTTGCAAAACAAGAGGTGTCTTTCATTCCAAAAACTCCACAGCAAAAGAAGGGGACAAAAAGTGAACGCCACGGATCTGCGTGTGCCCAAGTTTCAATCTTGCCCGGTGGACACACTGCACTGACACAAATTTTAATGGAAAAAGAGGGGACTAAGGGGAGAGTAACATAGCGAGCGTGTGGCCTGCAAACTGCAACAATGCAATCTCCATTTTGAACAATGCGCCTCTTTTCTCTTGTAAATCTAGGTTTTTGCCACTTGATGTGCCATCGCGTTTCCCTTCCGTTTGGGGGGCAGGCGGGGGTGGGGGGAGATGGGAGCAAGCTGCCCAGCACTCGGGAGGGAGCGAGCAGGGGGAGGGGAGGAGGTGGGGAGGGAGTCTGCAGCGGCCGGGCTGGGTGGGGGTACCTGGAGTGCTGCTGTAGGTGCTGTGGCTCCTGAAGCTGCTTTCCGTGCAGTAACTGGCGTCGTCGTCATCGTCTTCCATCTCCTCCGGATAATCGGAGTCATCGTCATCCTCCATCTCATCTTCCTCGTCGTCCTCCGAATCCTGGGTCTCCTCGGCGTCGCCGTCCTCCTCCTCCTCCTCTTCGGAGACCATGTCCTCCTCTTCCTCCTCCTCCTCGCTCTCGTGGTCATCGTACACCACTTTGTTGACGGGGCGGCGGGCCGGGGTGGTCCGGGCCAGGTGGCCGCCGCCGCCCCCGCCCCCCG